CAGCAGGAAGCCGAATAAAAAGACTCTCTGAGCACTGCATTTAGCAGCCTCTCCTCTTCTAAGGAAGGTACCAGTGTACACCACGTCAGCAACCATTCTTCAGGACCCTTGACTCAGTACAAGAATACAGCTGTGCCGATGCACTCTCCTCAGTCAGGAGAGTGAGCTGTTTAGGGAGCTTTTTACATTTTTTGGTATTGCAAAATGAAAATCCAATCCAATCCTTACATTAATGAAATGTGATAAGCTGGGGTGGGTTTTGATGCTGACACATGCCTCATATACCTACAGGGGAACCAAGCCTAGAAGAGACAACATAACTGGCTTTGGAATCAGAAAAGTCATTCTTGAAAAACTATTTGGGCAGGAGTCGCTCTTATTTATTCACTGAGAGTGGGCTTCTGCTTAAAGAAGATATGGGCTAAATTATACTTTAATGGTACATTTCCTTTCGCATAGAGAACCGTGGCAATCCAAGGACTGGCTTTAGCCATATGGAGGGAGGGAGAAGGAATGCTATGAGGTCGCAGGGCTGTAGCCGACATTCAGGTGCTGTCAGTGTGAAGAGTGGTATAGACAGTAGGGTGGGTCTTGCTGGGATGCAGCTGCCTTCAGCTATTGATCTCTCTGTTCTCCACAACTGGGGATGGGAGCTGGGGGCATGTGTGACAACCAGAAACCCTGGGTGCTGTGATGGCAGCCATTAACCTCCAGCTGGCACTACCTCCAGGACTGCTCAGTAAGGCTATAATGCATTGCCATCCCTCCTACTGGGAACTGTAAGAGCCTGGATTTGCAGTGCATCGGTGCTGTGCCAGGGATTCAGATGGCTCACAGACTACATGGAAACGCAGGCTAGAAGAGACAACATAACTGGCTTTAGCATCGGAAAAACCTGGGATGGAATCTATCTTTATTTTCAACATATTGCTATGTGACCTCTGGCAAAGGCTTTTAAAAACTCTTCTTAAAACCCGGGAAAATGGGAGGCTGGCCCACAGCGCAGTGGTTAAGGGAGCGGGATCACATGTGGCTGACCACAGTTCAAATTCTAGCCCTCGCTGCTTGAAAAACATGCCAGGCATGTTTGCATGCATGCCCCAAATCCTGACAGGTTAGAAAAATGAATGGACTGTGGCATGACCATATCCAATGCAGGGTAGTCTGCTCCTCCTTCTCTCTCTCTCTCTCTTTCTCTGTCTCTGGTGATCACACACTTGCTTGGCCAATTTAAAAAAAATTGTGACAATAGGATTAAGAATATATACCTCATAGCTTTTCTATCATGATTAAATTAGACACAGTAGTTCATCTAAGCACTGGCCTGATAGTAAGCACTAAAGGTCACACAGTTTCATAAGCACTGAAGATCACACAGATGGAGGAATTAGAAGAGCTGGAATTCCAGTTTTTCTAACTCACACCTGAGTAGTATTTTCTTCAGATTTTTTGCCATATGGCAAGTGTGTTTGCCAGAAACAGAAAGAGAGAGGGAAAGTAAGAAATCACCCTCCAGGGGGGATGGTCACACTGTTATCCCTTCCTCTCTCAGGATATTTGGCATGCATGCACCTGTGCCCAGAGAATTTCTCAAGCTGTTGAGTTCGGGACTCAAACCACAGTTGGCCACGTAGAATCCAGCACCTTAACCATCATGCCACCTGCTGGCCCGTGAGTAATTTTTTTTTTTTTTCTAAACATGGTTTAACCAATGTAGTTTTCAAGGACTCCCTTTGGCAAGCTGGACTAGGACAATATTAATGTTGACCTTCACAGCCTTGGCAATCGCAGTCAATATCACAAACATTCACTGACTTACTATGAGTGCTCCTGGGGACTCTGAGTCAAAAGCAGAAATGAGGAATACACAGCACAACTCCAGGTGAGCGGCTGGGATGAGAAAGTACTTGAGAATAAGCTCTGATCCTTACCACTTCACGCTTTTCCACTTCAAACCAGCGGGAAATGCCAGGTAAACTCTGCACCAAGTATAATGATGTCCTCTCCACCCAGAGACTCTACAAAACATAAAACAAATTAAATGCCTGCATTGTCCTTCCTTCTAGGTACTGTGCTCTGACCAATGTTTGTCTTTCAATATTATCTTTTCCTTATTTCTGTCAGCCTTTCTTTAAGTCTTCATTGGAACCCTCAAACTATCTCAGTAAGATACTGCTGACGCTTACGCAATAATTCCATTCTCTATTGCCTAAAATTTTATTCTATGTAAAATAAATGAGTTCCTACTTCAGAGAGCAAGCTTCCAGGTATAAAATTTGGCTATGTAAACTTCTAACTTAAACTCCTTTTACTCCTTAAGGTTAAGCTACTTAACTATTAGGTTGTTGGGAAAGGTATAATGTATTTTTCTATGCAAAAATGCATCATGACTTTTCCCATGACCCAAGAGAAGGGGTAAACACATCAGCTGGTCAACACAAGATTAGAATAATAGAATCCTGTAGAAAGAAAGAGTTTTTAGAAACACTAGAAGATGACACTAGGTTTTGAAGAGGCAATATGACTGCTCAAAAGCAACTTTCTAATTGTCTGCAGAGCCAGCACCAGAATGCACCCACTAAACCCTCTGGCTCCTCCTCCATTGCCAAATCCATTGTGCCACATTTTCTTACCTAGCCAGATCTGTATTCTAGAGCCAGTGGAGGGAATGGGGGCGAGGGTAGGGTACTTCCTCTGGTCAAAGTGAACAACCCCAGGACACACAAAACCATGGCAGCCTTTAGTGTGAGCTGCTGCTGATAATAAGTTTCTCTTTTGTCAACCAGGCTACAGAATCCATGTCTCATCTTTCTTATTAAACCCAGTGTATTCCTAAGAGGATAATCAACTTTGCGAAATTCCTGAAACAGTGCCATTTATTCAAACAACAACACAAAAATGGAAGAATTTCTTTGAGCCAGCCAAGATGCATGGAGATGAATACAGCAGAGTCCTAGTGACAAGAGCTGGCAGTGTTCTGGCAGTGACAGGGAGGTAAGCAGATAATTAAGCACTCAGTGTGAAAAGAAAGAAAGGAATGCGCAAGGTGCTGAGAGAAACCCGGAGGAAGCAGGCAGGCACCAGCCTGGGGGAGGAGGGCAGCAGTCTTGAGGAGGTAACACATGAGCTGAAGTTTGAAGGTGAGTAGGAGTTTGCCAGGAGGAAGCAGCAATGAACAGAGACATGGGAGAGGCTTGTGAAGGGCATGGCGAGAAAGGAAGAGAGAAGCTGGGTACGACTGAAGCTGGGATGGAGGGGGCGTTGAGTGAGAGTGGCAGAGACAAGCTTCTGGAGGGACAGTTTGGAGCCAGATTCTGAAAGGTATAAGCAGAGGAATAAGGACCTCAAATTCCTATGTTTTGGGGTGGAGGGTGTTGCTGTACTTAAAGTGATGGCCATGGGGTGAGGTGGTGCACTAGAAAAAGCAATGGAGACAGTGTCAGGAGATGTGTGTCCTCAAGCCGGGTTTACCAATAATTAGAATGTGACTTCAAGCAAGTCCATTTCCACTCAAACCTCATTTGACTTTCTGTTCACTGAAAGCAATTGCAAGGAAAACAATATCATTAACTATATCTTTAATTGATTTTGGAGAATGAAAAGAAAAATATAAATATTCAGAAAGGACTAGAAAATGATCACAGATCTTTTCAGTAATATTTCAATGGTGTTTCCCAGTGACCGCCTTAGGTTGATACGTAATTCAGCAGACCTGGTGGCACGAAGGACTGATGTTTATCCAGCCCCACCCTCACTCTGTAAAACTACCACAGTTCCTCTTCTGATCTTTTGCCTGTGAATAATTCTCGGAGTTTTTTGGAGCCCCCAAACCGGCACTTAGGCAGAACTGGCTTGGAACTTAACACTAGGCTATCATTACTAATAATGTCAGGAGGCTGTTTTCTATGTTAAGTAGAGAATATCTGTGATAAAGCTGCTAAGCCAGTTAACTAACCCACAACAACAAGCTCATTTTGCACTGCTTGTTTAGGTACAAAATACTGACTAACTGAGGATGTATCCGGTCTCACTGTGGCACTGTTTTCAAGCAGTAGACAGATTATAATTTGTCTGCTGAACAAACTTTCCCCTTTACCCCAGAGAGGCTGTGAGGAATCTTATCCCTTTCTGGCTGAGAAAGTACTGAACTAGCAAGGCATACTGGAACTACTAAGAGCACAGAACTCAACAAATGGAAGCATCCAAGATTTGCCTCGACTCCAGGCCCTCTCAGAAGTCCTCATTATACATCATTCTAACAAGAAAAAGCAGCAAAGGACAGAACAGAACTTACACACCATACCAGCAGTCTACACAATGTTCTCTGTCTCAGGGTCCTCTTTCCCCTGTTCCTTCTGTAGTCTTTACTAATCTTCCTCTACCGTATCTGAGAATACACATCCTGAGGTTCCCCAAACTGGTTCAATAAGAAAGATTAAGAGGACTGAATCCAACCATGAGTTCTCAAAGATAGGTCTAAGGACTATCATCAGCAGAACTGTCACCAAAAAAGCTGATTTCAGGCCCTCCTCCCAGAACCCACTGAGTTAGGATTCTGGGCCGGCAATCAGAATTCTGCTTGGTTAGGAAGTACCCCATGCCACTGTGATCCATAGCAGAGCTGGAAAACCACTAGACTACATGATTTCTACAATCCCCCTTTGGTTCTGTCATTGGGCACTATTCTGAGTAAATGTTTTCTGAGAGTCATGCCCTCCAACAGCTCACGGTCTATGGTCTATCTGAGGACACAGCATGTAGTAAGAATTACAAAGTACCTTGAATTCATTCTCTTTATCTTTTGTGCCTTTGTGAAATGGTCTGTCATAGCGAAATTTCCAGATATGATTGACTTTATAGAAACTTTTGATGTTGTCTGGAACACCCTCTCGCTGCAGAACCTCCTGGCTCTCCGGAATGGGAGTTACAGCATATATCTGCAAATCTAGGAAGAAGGAGTCAAGGAGGGAACCCACTGGGCAAGCCCCGGGGAAGTGCCTTGAGCTGAACTGTGACAGAGACGAAAGGATAGGGAACAATCTGGAGTTTCCAACTCCATTATAGTAATTTAAAAAATTGCCAAGAAGATGCCAAGAACTCAGTTTATAGCAAATCACACTTCAAACTATGGGCCTTGACTAATTGATATATAGTGCTCAGCAGGTGAGTCTAACAAAGTGTCAGTTTGAACTTTCTTTAACCTATCAATTTATATATCATTGACTGTGGGTGTGTGTATGTGTGTGTAGTGTGTGTGTGTTGGGGCAGTGGGAATGGTTTGAGTCTTAGGTAATCAGAATTAGAATAATCCTAATCATAGTTCATTAGACACTCTTTAATCTGTGCATGGCCCTTCACAATTTGTTTGTTTATAATAATGTGTAAATATCCATGAAACCAGTACCAAAGACAGACACCAGAACACCAACAATTATTTACATTTACCAATGTGATGCTATCCCAACCTTCCCTCAAATGCAGTATCTACTCTCCCAAATCTTGTACTGATAAGTGGGAGATTTAGCTGTAGTTGATATTTTTAAAATTACATTAAAGGAATGTTAAATTTTCTCATAAGTTTACCTCCTTCTCTTATGAAAGAATGATAGCAAAGTATACTTCCTTATGTAATTTCTTGCTTTTGTTGCAATTTCGTTTCTGCTTTGATATGGGGTCCATAATCATCAGAGGGAGTTTCAGTATCAGGAAGAGGCAAAGAAATTCCAAAGAGTGCCAGGGAACTCTGCCTTTGTCCCTAATGCTTAGACAATGAGAGTGTGAATTATATAGCAATTATTCAAGGCTTTCTGGGATTTCATAGCTAAGAGTCCCCCGTATATACTGGGGTACCTTTCTCTTCCTTCCTCAGTCCAAAATGAAAATGTATCAGGGGAAAGAAGGGTAATGCTGTATACCAGTAAATATAATGCTGTCACTTCCTTGAACTGAGGCAATTACACAGGATATGTCAGATGGAAATTATTCTAAGAGAAATTGCTAAAAAAGAGCTTTAAAAGCAGGGTGGAGATACGGAAGAGTTTTAATTAAAATGGAAAAAATTCTTTAACAGAATCTTTAAGGGAGTTCTTGTCAACTGACACCATGATAATAAATAGAAAAATTAAATTCTGCTCAGAAGGAGCTAAGCTAAAATTAAGATGATGAGAAAGAGGGAGAGTAAGAACCTAGCTATTGAAAAGGGACCAGGAGCTGAACAGTCTTGCATAAGAATACTCTGCAGCTAATAGCCAGGGCATTCTAGCTAGATTTAGCCTTTCTAGAGAGGATACACTGAGCTTCGGCCTGGAAGATGGTCTCGTCGGGCTGGTTTGCGTGCTGCATGGCGATGGCATGGGGGAACTCGTTCAGCATTCTCTGTTGGAAAGCTTCCAGCCGCTCATAGTCATGCCCTCGACACACGAACTCCTTATTCTGGAGGTGAAACCAAAAAAAGAAATTAAGACTACATGACTGAGTGCATTCATTACAGAAAGAAGCCGAAAACGTGACACTGGTAGTGACCGACCCGCATGATCCACACCAACACGGCATAACACAATAAAAACAAAAATACAGTGGAATTGTCTGAAAAATTAGTCTGAACATACAAAATGCAGAGCAGAGATCATGAGCTCCATTCTCTATGGCTTTTAAAAAACCAGTAGAGAGCCTTACTCTGTCTGACTGGTTCACCTGAAGGAGGTACAAAGAGGCATCTGATCCTTAAAGCACCAAAGTACAAAAACAAAAAATCATGTTTCCTCTAAATGTTAATGCACAGGTGTTAACAGACATGGCTGTCAGTTGGATATCAAACGCATGAGGATAAATTCACAATTTGGAGAGGAATAAAACTATGCAAACTTTAAAAATGCATTTTACTGCATTCATTCTTTCTTATTTTTTTAGTTTGCTATAAGGTGCATACACTTGCAGGGGGGGGGGGGGGAGGTTACAGGGATGGGGAGAGAGTGAGAAATCACCTGCCCAGGGGGTGGATTGCCATGGGGTCTAGGACTCAAACTGTGCAGTCAGCCATGTGGGATCCAGCCACCCTAACCTCCATGTCACCTGCTAGCCCACTTTTCTTTTGGGTCATCCGAAAAGTCATGATGTATTTTTCTATGCAAAAACTGCATCATGACTTTTCTGGTGACCCAAATGAAAGGCCACTGAAATCAGCCTTAACACTTTGACCGACTGGAGGGAGGCATCCACGGAGGGGAAGAGTGAACCCATTTGTACTGTGACTTCTAGCTGGCACAGACTCCTCCCTGCCATAACTAGCTCAACTCAGCTTCCTGTAGCCAGGAATCCTGGTAACTGGCTGAAGCTAAGATTTAGGACTTTTAAGGCCTCCCTAAATGTTGGACATATTTTTGTTTTGTTTTGCAATATATAAAGGGTCTTCATGAAGTTAATGGAAAATGTACATTATGATAAAACTGCATGGATTAAAAATTTTTTGCACTCAAATAAAGTTAAACTTTAATTCTGTTTTTCTACAAACTTTTTAAAGTACCCTTGCATGTCTGTACTATGTGGGTCATGACTCTCCCATTATGGGAAGAACAGTGGAGATTATTCTTGAAGTAAGCTGGAGCTGGGAAGATGGGTGGGTTTCCAGAAAATACCTTAATGACCTGGTTAGATATGAGGAAAATCTTTCTGACAATTTAATGATAATGAAATTACAGATGTTGAGCATAGTCACTGATGAGGCGCCCTGCGCATATCTCATTTAACCCATAAACACTTCAGAGGCATTCACTCATGCCCTATACCATTTTATAGTTGGGAATCTGAGGCCCAGTGCCTTTAAGAACTTTGTTAATTGCTACTAGATTCTAACTCAGTTATGAGTCCAGGGTCTGGCTCTATCTATTCTGAACATGGCCTGGTATGTTTAGAAAACAGTCTGAGGAGCTACTAAGTAAGACCAAGAGAGGTGGTGACATCCTGAATCCTGAAGATCTTTAAGAAAAGGAGAGAGCAGATCGCAGGGAGCCAACATTTTCAAGCTCTACGAGGTTCCTTTCACCACATAAAATGTCCTAAGGGAGCTAGAAACAGCTCTGGAGCTGCAGGCTCAGGTCTGCAGCTGGAAAAAGATTAGGGGCAGATGAGCTACAGGAACACAATGGGACTGGACACTGAGAACTCATCTCAGGGCTCTACGCCACCTGAAGAAAGCCTTATCCTTTGAAAAACATAACTGAAGGCAGACTCTATCTAGAAATCTGGACCCCCCAAACAATCCTATGTTCATAACTTTTGAGATAAAACTCACTACTTCTGATGCCATATTTTAAAATTATACTTTGGCCTAGCCTGCAGCCTCGTGGTTAAGGGAATCAGATCCCACATGGCCAACTGCAATTCAAATCCCAGTCTTTGCAGCTTGAAAAATACATAAGGCCTCTGTGTGTGTGTGTGTGTGTGTGTGTCCGTGTTCACATGTGTGCACGTGCACACACATGCATGTGCACCAAAATCACCACAGGAAGGAGAAATGGAGGAGAAGGGACTGGAGCATGACCATGCCCCATTGAGGGTGACTTCTCCTCTCTCTTTTCCTCTCATTTTCTCCGGCAAGCACGTGTGCCTTTTGGCAATTAAAAATATTATACTTAAAACATAAAAATGCTTGATAAAATTGACAACACATCCCTTCCTGCATTCTATAGCTTCCAAAATAAATGTCTGAATATCCCAATAACAGAAATATTTTTTTAAAAAAAGACTTACATATAAACAATAGTTTGTAAAATCAGAGAAGTTACTCTAAGCATACAGGCATTCAGTGCTATTATGAAGCTATTTTGAAATAAAAGATTGGGGTCTGACATTTGGGTCGCTACAAAATAAAAAGTAATTAAGCATTCCCCCCATCAATGCCTTTTAAAAGAATAATCTTACCTTTTTGGGGTATAATTCACACATTATACAATTTTTATCCTTTACAAATGTATAACTGACCAATTTTTAGTATATTAACAGAGTTATACAACCATCAGCACAATCCATTTTCTGAACATTTTCATAGTCTCATTAAGACTCCATACCCATTGGAGGTCACTTCCTATTTTCCCACCCTCTAGTTGCTGGCAATCATGAAACTACTTCCCATTTCTATGGATTTGCCTATTAAGGGATTATACATCATGGCCTTTTGTGACTGGCTAATTTTTTCAAATAGTTCATAATATCTTCAAGTTTATTAATTTTATAGTAGAAATCTGTATTTCCTTCTTTTTTATTGCCAAGTAGTGATTCATTATATAGATATACTACATTTTGTTTATCCACTCATCAGCTAATAGACACATGGGCTGTTTCTCCTTTTTGGCTATCATGAACAATTCAGGTGCAGGCTTTTGTGTGGATGTATGCTTTCAATTTTCTTTAGTATATACCTAGGTGTGGAACTGTTGGGTCATGTTTATCAATGTCTTTTAAAATTTTTACTTATTTTTTTGCCTGTGGGCATATGCACTTGCTGGACAGAGAGAAAAAGAGAAGGAGAGAGAGAGAAAAAGTAAGACAGTAGCTCCCACTGGGGATGGCCACACCACATTCCCTTCTCCACTTCTTTCAGGATTTTGGGCACAGACACATAAGCTCAATGTGTTTTTTTTTCTTTCTTTCTTTTTGGAGAGGTTTTTGCTATAGGGCGCATGCACTCGCCAGATAGACAGAGAGATAGAAAGCGAGAAACCACTCCCTGGGGGGATGGCCATACCGCAATCCCTTCTCCTCCCTTCTCCTCTGGGGAGGGATCTTGGGCATGCATGCACACATGCCTGGTGAGTTTAAGCCACTGGGTCCAGGACTCAAACCACAGTCAACCACATGGGAGTCTAGCAACATAACCATTATGCCAACTGCTCTTCCTCCAATGTGTTTTTCAAACCGCCAAGTCTGAAATATGAATGCCAAGTCAGCCCTATGGGATCTTGCTGCCTTCACCACCACATCACCAGCTGGCCCTATCCATACTTTTTATAGAACTCATTTTCCCTGAGGGGGGATAAAACCTACTTTGATAGTACAATTATATAAATGTATTAATTTAATTGAGCTTCAAGAATTATCTTAAAACTGATCTAATAATGAAAGTAAGTTTTTAATGTTCTTATTTGTTTATTTTAAATTGAAGGACTGACTGGAATATAATTTCCTAAAACAGGTAAGTTCCCATGATTCTGAAGAGTGCAGTGTCCTTTAGAAACCAATAGAGGGTGACCCTTCTCTTTGATTTTGAAGGAAATGTCATTTATATACAGAAAAGTTATTTTTTTAAAAGTCTGATGATACAGATATTGATTCATCCTAATTGAATTTGAACAAAATTAATTATATTAGCCAATGCTGTTTCCCAATCTGGTCAACTTCCTTTAAAAGTATGGTTCCTAAAATCTTCGGATTTTTTTTTTTTTAAAAAAAACCTTTTAATTAACAGTAACTGCACAAAATATATAAATGTCCAGTGCACCTCATTGTATCCTTGCTAGTTAAAATGCGAATTTGATCTAGAGCTGCATTACGACTTTTGTAGGGCCACAGAATACTTATATATATTGTATAACAAAACAACGAACAGTTAAAAATATGCCCAACATTTAACAAGGCCCTAAAATCCTAAATCTTAGCTTTGGCCAGTTAATAGGATTCCTGGCTACCAGTCTTTTGCCTTCATGGGCCCTTCCTCCATTAGAGATATTACAAATTATACTGTATGGAGAGCCAGCAGGTCCATGGTAGTTAAGGTGCTAGACTCACACATGGCTCGAAAATCATGCTGAGTGTGTGTGTGTGTATGTGTGTTCAAAATCCAGAGAGGAGAATGGAGAAGAAGGGGTCGTAACATGGTCCTTCACCCTGGGGCATGATTTCTCACTTTTCTCTCTGTTTCTCTTTGATGCCATATCCTATGGCAAAAACCTATAGAAAAAGACAAAAAACATTGTATTGTATGACTTGCTTGGTATATTGATGGATATATCAATAGTAATATTATCTACTATATTATAAGCAGTATATTACAGCATTTTCTTCAACCTATAAGTTTTTTTCTTCTGTTGATTTCTAAAAATAATATAAAATTTTGTGGGCCCTTTATGGTTTCTAAAACACCATATCTACTATGTATAATAGATAGGCTACTTTGGGGTACCATAAGAAGAACATAAAATCTTTTACTTTGCTGATAACAGCTTTAGAGAAGCATAATCACTTTTAAAAATAATTTTTAATTTAATTTAATTATTATTATTATTTTTTAATTTGGCTAGAGAGAGAGGAAAAGTGAGAAAGCAAGCCTCCAGGTATGGACTCAAACTGCAGTTGGCTATCCGGGAGTCCAGTGTCTTAACCACCACGCCACCTGCTGGCCTCATAATCACTTTTAAAACTTAGTCTTTATAGTAAGTATGAATTTGTCATTGTTTGTGATTTGGACTCAAGTTTTCCTCTATCCTTTGACAGGCTCATCTGCAGAATCAGTTTTGTGACCACGCACATCATCATGTAGATTCTCTTCAAATGTAATGGGGAGCTTTTGCATTATCTCCATACAAATACATGGTCATTTCAATCAATTAAACGAAATATCTTGCTATTATCTGTTTACTCCATGCAATACTAATCTTTACCTATCTAGTGTCTGAATATTTTAGATTAATCTACCTTCCTGTCTACCTGTCTTTTATACCTAAAGACAGATAAGCTGGGGCCAGCAGGTGGTGTGATGGTCAAGGCACTAGACTTCCACATGACTGGCTGCAGTTTGAGTCCTGGACCTGGCGGCTTGCTTTCTCACTTTCTCTCTCTGTCTTCCTCTCTCTCTGTCACTCTCTGGTAAATGTATGTGCCTTATACCAAATTTTAAAATAATAATAATAAAAATAATTAAATAAGTAATTCTTTTAAAAAGGACAAATAAGTTAAAAATTACTAAGCAAACAAGAAAATGAAATATGTTTCCTCTCCCTTCTGTGAGTATATCCATCTCTTATTTATTTATGTGCACTGACAGTTAAAGTAAGATTCAGGTAAATACAAACAACGAAAATATTTATATATTGAAATTTAAAGTTGCAATAAATTGGCACAGTTTTACAAATTATCCCAGCTACATCAGTTGCTTGACAAAATATGTTTCCTCTTTCAACGGATGTTTTTATATCAGAAGAATTATAGATGGAAGTGTTCAATACATATCCAAATCTATAATATACTACTTGGCAAAAAGTAAATAGAAAAAAAGGAGTTGACTCTTCCATTATCTAGTATATACCTTGGAATGCCTGGAAAACTTTCCTTTGTAGGAAGAGTTTATACTAAAGAATAAATTGGATCTCTTTATTGGGATTTGTTTTGTCACAAAAAGGCCAAACAACACTCGTTACATGATTCTGGCCATAGGGTTTCCATGAGATTTTTTTGTTTTCATTTTTGACAGAGATTTCTTCCATATGGTGTGTGCGCTTGCTGGAGAGACAGAGTAAGAGAGAGAGAGACAGACAGACAGACAGACAGAAGGCCAGAAATCATCCCCTGAGGGGATGGCCACATCACAATCCTGTTTCCTTCATTCTTCTCTTAGGATTTTGGGCTAGCACCATATGCACCAGGCATGAGTTTCAAGCGGCCAGGTCTGAGACATGAACCACAGTCAGCCATGTGCAAGTCCAGCAATGTAACCAGTGCACCATCTGCTGGTCCCTCTATGTAATGTTAAACTGCATGGTTTTCTTTAATCAGCAACTACCAGCCTCCTGCAATGCCCCACCATTTCTCTAATGCTAACGCTATGAAAAGTACAGATGGAATAGAATAGTGAATGCCACACACAGAAAAGTATGACCAAAGACTGCTCATAAAATAAAGTGAACTTAAAAAGGGATAGATTGTTTGGTATTTGGGGAAATTACTCAAAACAAGGCATTTTAGAATAATATAGTGCTTGTCAACTAAAGGATAAAAAAAAAAATTCATGACACTATTACTTGTCCTATAGAATGTCATTAGTATTTCAGTTAACTTGATTGGGATATTTGGGTTAGAAGTATGAAAGTACATTTTTAAAAATAGCATATTACTTACTCTTAAGAAGAATGGAAATTTCTTCCCATAAAATCCAACTCTGAAGAACTCTGGTTCAAGACGCTGCTGGTCCATAATTTTGTCATACAAAGAAGCTTCCATCATCTAGGGACACACAGGGAAAGGTCTAAACATTTTATCTTAATTTCATCCCCTTAATTTTATCTCTTTACAGAAGAGAATATTTCTCCTCTGACAAGGAGAACTTCACCTTAACTCTGTTTGCAGAAAAGGGTTGACTCCCTTTTCTTATGCTTTTAAAGTAGGGATCAATAAACTTATTCTATAAATGGCCAGAGAGTAAATATTTTGGGTTTTCCATGCCATATGGTCTCTGTCACAACTACTCAGCTCTGCTTGGCCCACAGGCTCTAGTTTGCTGATCCCTGCTTTGAAGGGTCAAGTGTAGAATTACATGTTATCACCAAAAAAAATTATTCCTATACATGTAGTCTATAAAGGAAACATTTTCTTCACAATTAAATAGAAATTAACCTGAACTATTAGAAGCAAAGTCTTTCTGGAGAAGTCTCATGCCAGATATACCCACCTGTCGATTTGCATCCATCTCAGTCAAGGTAATTTAGGACATTTGGAAGGTGCAAACTTGGACAGATTAGACCAACCAAACAAACCAAAGGAGACCCATAGTGCAAAGTGCTGTCTGGGCTGAAATCTCTTAAATGTGTCTTTGACAATGTTGCAACTATGAAGTACATAAAGCTTATGGTTTTCCATTCATGGTATTATCATCCCCAGGGTTTCCAGAAGAAGATTAATATTGCATTTGAAGACTCTTCCCCCTACTCCCCATCCTCAGTAACAGCACCCTAAAGAGCAATTGGCATGAAGTATAATGCTTTGGGTTTATAAAAATCTTAGTGACTATGGCACCCAAGGGCTCTCACGGGTAAACACTGTAACCTCGCTTCTGTTTCAGGGACAGTATGCCAAGAGAAGAACAGCAACGTTTTTATATAAAACCACAGTGCCTGCCAGAGTCGGCATGATGGACTGGAGTCAAAACAAGGTTGTTCTTTCTGCTTTTTCACATGAGAAGAAATGTTGATGAAGTGCTGACATGAAATACTATGTCAAAAGTACAGAACCAGCTTGCTGAGTAAGTTATTTGTTGTGGTGTAAGGTATTTCATGAGCTGTTAAGAGTTTATGATATCATCTCTTAAATGGCTACCTTGAAATTAAAAGATAACATCATAATCCTTTTATAAAAATATGTAAAAGTTGATTATCCTATTTTTAGGAACACTCAAGAAGCTTAGGACCTCGTCAGGACCTTGTGTATTACTTGCTACTACAAAATGCCCATGATGCTAAAGAACAGAACTTGGAGGGCAAGGAGGAAGTGTGTAACTTAAATGCTAAGGAGGTAAAAGACATGAGGTTTAGGGACACAGAATATTCAGCTCCCTGAGCTCTTGGGTACTAAAACTGTGGCTTAGCTTTAGCAAATAAAAACATGTTTCTGAAGATAAAGAGAGTCAATACCTACACACGTTGGCCTTAAATGATTTAAACATGGGTCAGTTAGCCATTTCTTCTATTACGCTTTGCAAATTATGGGACCGGGAAAGGTATATTGTTACAGAGATTTATGTACGAATCTCTTCAAACAGTGTGGAGATTTTCCTCAATAAACTGTAAGTATTAATCCTGGAATAGACCATGTATCTCAAATGAGGTGTTTTAGAATAGATCAAGAGCTTACTTTTTATATATTAATCAAAAGCACTGCCCAGATAAAATTGTTATTTCTCTGTATAAATAGCTGAACATGTTTCAGAGAAAACACTTACCTTGTTTTTAGCTTTTTGTTTTGTTTTGTTTTTATTTTTTTCGTCACAGGGTGCATATGCTTGCCAGAGAGAGACAGAGAGAGGTAAAGAGAGAAATCACCCCCCCATGGGAAGATGGCCATTTTGCAAACCTTTCTTCTCTCAGGATTTTGGGATGCAGGCACTTGTGCACAGCATGATTTTCAAGCCACCATGTCCAGGACCTGAACTGTAGTTGGCCAGGTGGGAGTCCACTGCCTTAACCACCATGCCACCTGCTAGTCCTGGAAACACTTATCTTGAAAAAGGTTTCTGCCAGCTATATCGAGATGATCACCAAGTTATCATCACAGAATCACACTGGAGAGCTTATCATGAATGAGTGCCATGGCTTGGTCAGGATGGATGCAGGTACCTTACCCTCATCTTGCTCAGGTTTCTGTAGTCATAATAGCTCTCATACTGCTCCGCGATCTTCCGGCACAGGATAATGCCATTCTCCCAACACTGCAGACAGATAAGTGACAGAAGTGGAACTATCTCCCAGCATGTGCTGACTTCCACCCACAGGCCAGGACACAACTGCTTTCAGGTCACCAAGCCTGACTCCTTAATCTTTTATTGATTTATTTTTTGGGTTGTCAGAGGAGAAAGCACCACCCTCCCCATGGGGAATAGTCATGTCACCATTTCTTCTCTTCCACTTCGTTCTCCTGTTGGGATTTTGGACACATGTGTCCAGAATGTTTCTTAAGCCAGTGGGTTCAGGATTCAAATCTGAGGTCAGCCACCTGGAGTCCGGCTGCCTTATCCACCAGGCCATGGAGCTAGCCCACTCCTTAATCTTTATAGCATATTTTTAATCATATTACTGTAACTTTAAGCATAAAAACATATGCTAAAAAAAAAAAGTAAGTTACTAAAAATCCATAGAAAGTTGGAAATCATGTGGTGCCAGAACAGTATCTTCTGGTATGTTTTGGAGATTTCATCACCTTGAAGTTGTAACTGCAGTTCCATCATAGCCAAGCAGTTGGATACCAACAGCTCCTCAGTGCTGTGGAGAGAATTACAACCAATCCCCCCAAGGCCCAGTTATCTGTGATTGGTACCCTGGATTCCTTGCTTGACTAAGTAGCACCTGCAAATTGTGAGAGTCTAACCCAGGTGCTTACTTTCAACAGAAATGCAAAAATTCTTTGATCTGGCATAGGTATTGGCAAACTTTCTGAAAGCGCCAGACAGTCAATATTTTAGGCTTTGAGGTCCATATAGACTCTGTCACAACTACTCAACCCACCGGCCATGGCAGGAAAGCAGCTGTAGACAAGAATAAGAATGTCTGTGTTTCACTAGGAATTTACCTGTGGGCACTGAAATGTAAATTTCATGTAACAGTCACATGTCACAAAATATTATTTTTTAATTTCCTTCAACCACGTAAGAATGTAAAAGTAATTTGTGGCTTGTGAGCTATACAGAAATAGGCAGTAAGCCATCTGACCTATGAGTCATAGTTTATAACCCCTAATCTAGCACAACCTCCTGGAAATGGGTTAATATAGGAAGCCAGGAACTCTGTAACAGTTTATTCTAGAGGCAGAAACTTCCCAGTAGGCACAAAGACATTCCTTTTGCTATTAATGTAATGATATGTCAATGCAGTTAGATAAATAATAAAGGATGATATGAAAGGAGCAATTTCCTTGCATCAAATTTTTAGGTATACCCAATTATGTTTTGTGAAAGATGACAGCCACTGGTTATATTATAATTTTCTGTTTAACATTCACAAATTGGAAGAATATTTAAATTTAAAGCACATACCTCTAAAGTATCCAAGTGTTCACATCAAATAAACAATGGTGGTCATATTCCCCAATTTAAAAAAAAATAGTTTTTGAAGATAGAGGAGGGGAAGTGAGTGATGTACTGAGCTGCATCATTAGGCTTGTGTGCGTGTGTTTTTTTTCCCCAACACCCTAAGACCTTTCTAAGCATGTGAAGGGATGCCAGAAAATTATTTAGATTAATTCTATTTGATTTATTTCACCTTGAAAATATGGAATGTGTAGAATGCATGCCAGTTTGAGGAGAGAGTGAAGTGATGATAATGGCTTTGCAGAAAGTAAATTACTTGTGTGCTTTGGTCTAAATGTTTCTATCATGTCAAAATTGATATGTTGAAATATAAATCTCCGCAGTGATAGTATTAAGAGGTGCGGCCTTTGAAGGAGATTAAGACATGAATGTGGAACCCTCATTTTTGGCATTAATGCCCTTATAAAAGAGGCCCTAGAGAATTAGTTAGTCCCTTCTACCATGTTAAGACATAGCAGGATGTGCCATCTGTGATGAAGGACGGCCTCACCAAACACCAAATCTGCCAGGGCCTTGATCTTGGACTTCTCAGTCTCCAGAACAATGAGAGATAAATTTCTGTGGTTTATAAGCCACTCAGTCTATAATATTTTGTTATAGCAAACCAGAGGGACCAAGACCATGGGTGTCAAAAACCCTCTAGATCAAGGTTTATCCAAGTTTAACACAGAGTTCGTCCACATTGGAATCTCCTGGAGTCTTCCTTTGAGTCACAGACTTACTGTCTAGGGTCTGGTCCTGGAAATAACACATGTTAACAAGCTTGTTGCTATTTCTAATGCGCATTGCAATGTGAACATCCATGATTGGGAAAGTAGATATGCATAAACTAGAAACCCAAAGAGACACTAGTCACTGCAGGAGAGACCAGGAGTTGGGCAGGGCCACTTACTTTGCCTCTGTCAAAGTTCTGGATGATGGTGAGGTGCAGGTGCTCTTTGCGCTGCCATTCTGTTTGCATGGGGTAGGTCAGGAACTCCCTGAGAGGCCGGTCAGACCATTCTAACAGCTCATCGTACAGCAGAAGAGTATATGCAGCTTCTGTAAGTCAAGTAGGAGAGCAATGACTGACATGGGACGTCAAGCCACACCCCCTCACACAGGGCCGGTTTTGGATAAATTGGAGAAAATACTGTCTTCAGAATTTCATGATACAGAAGAGAAGAGCATGGAATATAAGCAACACCATGTTAATAAATGGTTCTTTTGGATGAAGGAATTACTGGAGATCTTTATTTAATATTTTGGTTCTCTGTCCTGTTTCTTTCTTTTTTGTTTTCACTATAATGTCCAGATGCTACTCGCCTAATACAAATGTTCAAGGGTACCTTGTTGTAGCTCGTTCAAAGATATAGGGAGACATGCCTGTATTTGCTAGGAAAGTTCACTAGTGAGTCCCAAGGAGACTTGGAGCAATTTAAAAAGGGCATGCTTAGAAAACAGAAAATGGTAGCTAAATTCTTCTGGATAACAAAAGACTGAAGAATTAAAACTGGTGTTAGAGGAGGAGGATTCAGGGTATAGAATGAATGTAGAAAGGGCAAAGAAAACAGAATAGATAAGTGAACACAACAATAACAACAAAGCGGGGGTGTGGTGGGGAGGGACAAAGGCTCCACAGTGTAGTGGTTAAGAGCTGTGCAAAGGAGGCTAGACCAACGTGACCCACCATGGCTTGAATCCCAGTCCTCAGCAGTGTGTTGGGTGTGTGGGCATGGGTGCCCAGAATTCTAATGAGATAGAGAAATGGAAGCCCATTTTTTTCTGTACATGCTCTCTGGCATTAGAGGGTGAAAGTGCTGGATGAGCTCTGTGTGTGTGTGTGTGTGTGTGTGTGTGTGTGTGCACATGTGCACGAGACAGAGAGAGAGAACACTGTGGTGGGCTGTGCGATATGACTCCCTAGTTGATCCCACAATTGTTGCTCCCACAAATTTCCAGTAAAGGCTGCTGAAACCATTACATGCTAGATGCGGCTGGATTTTCTGTAGATGCAAGTATAGGGGTGATTTTCCGCACACACTCACGTGATAACCTGTGGACATAAGCATAGTTGGCAGATAGTATATTTAACAGAATTCTTGCCATCTTGCTGATATTTTCCTTTCCTGAACCACAAATAGTTCTGGTACATATTCTGATTTAGTCAAACAGATCAGAGTAGGCATCAGAATTCATTGTCATTGATGGAGAACTATAATGCTTTTCTTATTTAATACTAAAAGCTAACTCATTTACCAAATTGAAAAAAAAAAACAGACAAACACGTTATTAATCTATTTAACCACAAACCCTTAAGTCTCTCCAAAGATACAATAGTAGCTTTTAATGTAATATCAATAAGTGGTAATTCTTTATCTTCATTTATTTATTTGAAGGCAACTACACATGAGGCTCCAAAGTAATGTGTCAGGTTCTAATATTATGATTTGGCCATGTCCATGTATAAAATATAGTTGTAATAAGAAAGAAGAGGGCTCACGTCACTTTTGTCTTCTTTTATTTGTTTTTAGAGAGATTTTTGCTATAGGGTGCATGTGCTTGCCAGAGAGACAGAGAAAAACAGAGAGACAGAAATTGAGAAATCACCCTCCCGTCTCACAGGGGTATGGCCACATCGCAATCCCTTCTCCTCCATTCTCCTCTTAGGACTTTGAGTACATGTACATGTGTGCCCATGGTGAGTTTCAACCAACCAGGTCCAGGACTCGAACTGCAGTAGACTACCTGGGAGTCCCGTGACATAACCATTACACCAATTGCTGGTCCCACTTTTTTCTTACTTATTAAGTGCAGAGGTGCCATGACACACAGGCTCTGGTCTTTTTTCCTCTTTAGTTATCTTTGGTGAGCTCTAAAATCTTCTGCCTTCCATTACTGCTATAAAAGCTCTCAATACCCACCAGCAGTCTCTAGCCCCTTCTACTCCATTTGCTACTGTTACGATTTTCCTTCACCGCAAATGATGAGGTTGCTCCACTGGTTATAACCAGGCAATGACTGCTAGTAGCTAAAACAGTCCATGTAGGCTTCCTCAAGGGATGGAGAAGGCTGCTCATGACTTGATTCCTACCAATCTCTCTACTGTTTCCCACTGTCCCTCCACAGATTATAACTGAGAAGTCTATCACTGGCTCTGTTAAGAAGGCACAATAGCTACTCAACATCCAGCCCCACAGTTGGAAGCCTGGGTCCCATTTTCATTTTTCAAGGAATGAAGCAAATGCATCTTGTTTGGAGTCAGCTGGGCCCAAGTGAGCTGCCCCAAAGGATAGGGAGCCTTCTGTGGCATAGGCACATGCTGACCTCTTTCCTGTGAGGATTGAACATGTGACGGCCAGAGAAAACATTCACTAATGAGAGTCAGTTAATTGCTGGACAGAGAATAGAGCGAAATCACCATAATGTAAGTTGCATTACGAGACTGCTCTGAATGTACAGTGTTATAATAACCAGATCTTCACATCTGCGCTGTATTTTGAATTGCCTTCTGGTTTTCTCTGAGAACTCCTGATGTTTAATTTCCCATGTAGCTTTATAATAAATGCTAAACATCTATGAAAACCCCATGTGTATCTTTGTTCCCTCATCCACCCTCTTTGGTCTTGTCATCTGAATAAACCATGGTTCCTCTCACATACCACAATGAGTCACACCTACGAGCCCTTCAAAGCTTGTTACTTCGAGCCTTTCCACCTTTCATGCAAAATAACTCCTACTTTCTCTTAATGACCTAGCTCAGGAGTTACATTTTTTGTCTTTCAAATTTCATTTGTATCTTCCCCAGCACCTGAGTACCCAGAAAATACCCTAGAGACTAACTAATCACTTCACAGGATTAGGTGGATGGAGGGAAGCCCTCCCTGACAGCTGCTCACAGTGACTTAAGGGACAATGAAGGGAATTCTCCTACACTGCTCGTGGGAATGTTGATTAGTACACCCACCATAGAAAACAATATGGAGGTTCCTCAAAGACCTACAAATGAATACAGTAATTCCACTCCTAGGTATCTACCTAAAGGATCAGAATACACTCAGCTGGAAAAGCACTTGCATAACCATGTTTATTGTGATATTATTCACAATTACTAGAACCTGGAACCAACTCAGATGTCCATGAACAGATGAATAGTTTGAAAAAGAGTGGCACATATACACTATGGAATACTATTCAGCCATAAAAATAAAAAAACAATGAGACCCTGGCATTTGATAGCAAGTGGATGAATATGGAAGATTTACTGCTAAGTGAAGCAAGCCAGACCATGAAAGAGAGGCATTATATGTCCCCAACCACTACATACCAAATGTCTGAACTCTGGCAGAAATGGAAAGATTGGAAGGTATAGAAGCATGGAGAACAACTGTGGATTAACAGTATGGAAGGAGGGTGGGAAATGAGGGAGGGTGGGGGGAATCAAAGGGAAAAAGAAAGAAGCAAAATGGAAAATTATCTGTTGATGATAATGTGTATGGTAATAACTCTGACTGGACTAATATATAGTATATTCATGCTGGAAAAACTCATTTTATATGTTGTAAAGATAAATAGAGATTAAATGTAAAATAACAATAATAATAAAAATGACAATGAAGGTCAAATTCATAGATACAGAAAGTAGAATAGTGGGTTCCAGGGACAAGGAGAATGAAGAATAAGGGACCAGTAGTTAGTATAATGGCTATGTCGCTGAACTCCCATGTAGCCGACTGTGGTTTGAGTCCCGGACCCAGTGGCTTAAAATCACGCCAGCACATGTGTGTGCGTGCCCAAGATCCCAAGAAGAAAATGGAGGAGAAGGGATTGCGGCATGGCCATCCCCCCTGGGGGGTGATTTCTCGTTTTCTATCTCTCTGTCTCTCTCTGTCTGTCTCTTTCTTTCTGGTGATCACATGTGCCCTATTGCAAAAACCTCTCCAAAAAAAGAGAGAATGGAGAACTAGTGTTTAATAGGTACAGAGTTTTAGTTTGGGAAGATCTAAAAAGTTCTGGAGGTGGATGGTGGTGATGGTTGCATAGCAATATGAATGTTGCTGAACTATGCAGTTAAAAATGGTTAAGATGATAAACTTGGCATTATGCATATTTTACTGCAGTAAAAACAAAAGGAAAAGAAAAAGAAAAAGGACCAATTAAAGTTTCCACCCCCCAACAGCTTTCCCAGTCATGCATCACATGGGAAGTTTGAGGGATGGCTGGAATGGCAGGTGTGGGTAAGCTATTCCTGGGATTGTCTGGGAAAACAAGGAAGTGCTGAGAGTCTATCAGAGGGAGGTGACAAGTGACTGAATGGTTGGGGCCGGCAAGTGGCATGGTGGTTAAAGGCGCTGGACTCCCACATGGCCGACCACGGTTCAAGTTTCGGACCCCGTTGCTTGCTTTCTCACTTCCTCTCTCTCCCTCTGTCTCTCTCTGATCAAACTGAAAAATAATAATGATACCAATAATAAATAAAGTTAAATAAAATAATTCTTAAAAAAAAGAAAGAGGTTAAGGCAAGTAACAATTGTTTCAGATTCTGAAAAATGACAATATACAAGGGAATTTCACAAAGTTTATGGGAAAATGCAATTAAAGTATGAGTTTGTTTTGTTGCTAAAAGATTTTGGAATCCATATATACTTTTTAAGAAATAATATGCATTTCTATGAACTTTTTGAAGATGCCTTGTATATCTGAGATAAGCAGTGTATGTAGAAGAAGCTGTAGAAAATTATTATTAAATAAAACATACATCCTTTAGGATATGAGTAACACAACATGCCTATGGGCTAGTTTTGAACAAATTCGCAAACTGTAAATGTGTCGGTGCAATATTCTGTATTTTATTCTTTTGCATTTTTAGAAAACAGTATGTACTAAGAGAATGAATCAGTTCCAAAATTTCCAACAGACAATCTTTTAAAATGTGTGTATAGAATCACCCCATGGCACAGTGATTAAGGAGGCTGGATCCTACATGGTTGACTGTGCGGTTCGAGACCTGGATCTGGTGGATTGCAAAACACCAGGTACACTTGTACTCAAGGTTCTAAAAG